GATCCCCCTATATTATCCCGGATCCCACATGGATCCCCCACCCCTGGACACACCTGCCTGCACTTGATCTCCCCCACGGATCTGTACCTATATCCTTCCTCCAGGTCCCCCTGGATCTTCCCACGGACCCCTGTGCTGGGTCCCCCTTTCCCAATCTCTCTCCGTGGAGCCCGACATGAACCCTGCAAAGGATCCCATTTTGGATCCCTATAGGCCCCCCTATCCAGGGGTTCCCTGCCATGAATTCCCTTGATCCATGGATTCCCAGCCTCTGAATTTTGCTGCCCCCCCGCCTCAATGGATCCCCGTCCATAGACCCTCTTAGACTCCTTGCCCCAACAAATTCCTCCCATCCCAATTTCCCCCAGACATCTCTTGATTCTGCCCAACCCATAGATCACCCCTTCTCCTGAATTCTCTCCGGAATCCCCACAGGGCCTTCAGAGATCCCTCCACATCCCCATAACATGGATCTCACCCCATGTCCCCTCCATCCCCCCTCATGGATCCCCCACCCATGGATCCACCCACAGATTTCTCTCCATCCCCCACCATGGAACCCCGATCGATCTCCCCATGGATCCCCTCCATCCCCACCCATGGATCCCCGATGGATCCCACCCATAGATTTCTCTCCATCCCCCACCCGTGGAGCCCCGAGGGATCCCCCGGCTCCCCTCCATCCGCTCCGTCCCCCGCCCATGGATTCCCCGCCCCGTGCCCGCCCCTGGACGGGTCCCGCCTCCGCGCTCTCAGGGCGGCCCCGCCCCGGCCCGGCCCCGGCGCGGCGATGGCGGCCCCGGCGAAGGACGTGGCCGCGGTGCGGGACAGGGCCCCGGTGCGGGACGCGGCCTCGGCCAGCAGCGCGGGCCCGTGGTCGCTGCGGCACCTGCACCTGGACCTGCGCGTGTCCTTCGCGGCCGCGGGCGCGGGGCGGCTCCTCGGGCGGGCGCGGCTGGAGCTGCGGTGCGAGCGGGACGGCGCGGGCGCGGAGCTGCGGCTGGACGCGCACCCCGCGCTGGCCGTGAGCCGCGCCGCGCTCCTGCCGCCGCCGGGCGGGCCCGGGGACGCGGCCGGGCAGGCGCTGCCCGTGGAGAGCCGGCCCTTCGCCAGCTATGGCAGCGCCCTGCACATCGCCCTGCCCCAGGCCCCCCGTGCCGGGCAGCTGCTCACCCTCCTCATCGACTACGAGGCGGGCGAGGGGCCCGGGGTGAGCGCTGGGACACCGGGAGACACCGGGCCCCGGGGGGGGTGGGGGGAAGCCGGGGGACACCGCTCCCGGTGTGAGCAGGGGGCACTGGGGAACAGCGGGCCCGGGGTGGATGGAAGGGACGCGGAGTGCGGTGGGACACCCTGGCCCACAAGGACCGGGAGGACACTGGGTGTGAACTGGGGGCCGCCAGACCCGGGGGGAGCTGGGGGGTGGTACAGGGGACCTGTACCTGCCAGGACTGGAGTGGGCAGAGCTCCAAGGGTGAGGAGCCCCTTCCCAGCTCCCTCCACAAGGAGCAGCTGTGGTCGAGCCACCTCTCACTGGGGTCTTGGTCCCTCCCCAGGTGTGCTGGCTGTCCCCTGAGCAGACGGCGGGGAAGCAGAAGCCCTACATGTACACACAGGGCCAGGCTGTCCTCAACAGGTCCTTCTTCCCCTGCTTTGACACCCCCTCAGTCAAGTTCACCTATTCAGCCACCGTGAAGGTAAGCGGAGCTCCAGGAGCTGCCCTGGCCATTCCCTGACACCCACCAGCAGCAAAACTCTCCATGAGTGCAAAGTTTGCTGGGGAAGAAAGTCCAAAGGAGGCCGTGGAGATGATCCAAGGGCTTTAGCACCTCTGCTATGGAGCCAGGCTGGAAGAGCTGGGATTTCAACCTCCTGCCAGCCAGGCTGTTCAGCTGCAGAAGAGAAGGCTCTGAGTAGACCCAAGAGCCCCTTTCAGTGCCTAAAGGGGCTCCAGGAGAGCTGGAGAGAGCCTTGGGACAAGGATCTAAGTGCCAGGACAAGGGGGAATGGCTTCCCACTGCCAGAGGGCAGGGTTAGATGGGATATTGGGAAGGAATTCTTGGCTGTGAGGATGAGTAGGCCCTGGCACAGAGTCCCCAGGGCAGCTGTGGCTGCCCCTGGATCCCTGGAAGTGTCCAAGGCCAGGCTGGATGGGGCTTGGAGCAACCAGGGATAGTGGAAGGTGTCCCTGCCCGTGGCAGCGGGCGAGACAAGATCTTTAATGTCCCTTCCAGCTTAAACTGCTCTGAGCTGTTGGGTCCCTTGCATGGAATGTGCCAAAGCACAGAGGCATCACAGCAGGGACACTGCTTCAAACCCTCCTCCTCAGGCCCCAGCTGAGAAGTCACTCACCTGTACTTGGGCTGTTTTTCTCTCAGATGCCCTTTTGGATGAAGACAAGCAGCCCCAGGGTTCCTCCTGCCTCTCCCCAGTTGCATGCACCAGCCTGGCTCCCCTGCTCAGAGCTCCTTGCATTTGCGTCAGGAGGAGCTGAGTTTGGGGGAAAACAGCTGGAGGAAGGTGGTGCTGCTGGGCCATGCTGGGTCCTGGTGGCAGTTCCAGGGCTGCCAGACTTCCAGGAAGGAGCAGCTGCTGTTCCCCAAAGATGGCACTAAATGCAGATTCCCCCTTGTCTGCGTGTGGGCATGTGGTGACACTGGCACTGCGCCGCCACGCGTGCCATCCTGCTGTGGGCAAGGGAACTGCTTAATGGTGTGACACCATCCAGTGCCAATGGCATGTGGTGGCATCAGCTGGTGATGCCAGGATTGATTTATTTTGCTCTCCCAGGGCAGAGCCCCTCTGGTGCCACAGGGTGAGCGTGGGATGGGGCTGTTGCTGAGCTCTGGTGTGATGCTCTGTACCAAGGAAACCGTATTCCCTGTGCACCGTGGGGCTCACCCCCTGCTTGGGCTAGGGGACACTGGATCAGTCTCCCTGGGCTCAGCCCAGGCTACTGCATTTGCCATGGGTTCTGCACTGGCTTGGGAACAGGAAAAATGAGTTGTTGTGCAAGAATTGGGAGGGGAATCAGCAGTTGAGGGATCTGTATCCTCTGCCCTTTCACACCTGCAGCTCCAGTATTTCCTTATCTCCTGGTAGGTCCGGGGGCAGCTCCAGGTACCCTAGCATTGCAGGGATGCAGCTGGGATCCCAAGTGGGAGCTCAGGGTGTTCCTGCTCTGCTCCCCGTAGCCTGCAGTGCCCCTGGCCCCGGCACCTTCAGGCTGGGACACATTTGCCATCAGCCACTGTGGTGTCCCAGCTGGCTTAGCTGGCCTGCCACTGTGTGTGACTCTAATGGGTGGCTCTATCCACGTGGTCAGGTCCCCGAGGGCTTCACGGCTGTGATGAGTGCCACGAGCTGGGAGAAGCAGAAGGATAACACCTTTGTATTCAAGATGTCCCAGCCAATCCCCTCCTACCTGATTGCTCTGGTTGTTGGGGACATCGTGTCTGCTGATGTTGGCCCAAGGTAAGGGGCTCAGGAGGGCTCCAGAGCTGTGGGAACTGCACAGTGAAGCTCCTGTGGCAGCTACTTTCTGCTTCTCCCTGCTCCACGGTGCTCTGGAGAGCAGAGACACTGGCCATAAACATGGCACAGTCAGTCCCTGTCTGTGTCACCAGGTTGTGGGCTCATGGGATAAGGTTTCTTCTCAAACTGGAGCATGAAAAGGAGCCTTGATGCTGTGTCCCCTCACCTTCAGGAGGGTCCCTGGCTCTGCTCGTGTCACCCTGCACATGAATGAGGGCAGTGGGTCCCCATGCATGGAGGATCCCACATTTCCTGACAGACTGGTGCTTTCTTCAGTTCTTGGCTGCCACTGCAGCCATATAAAAGCCCTTTGACATTCAGACAAGGAAAGAAATCACAGCAATTTGCACTATTGGCCTCTTTAAATGCCTTTATCAGCAGGGTTTTATTTTTCTTCGGAATAAACCTGTGCAATTTCTGTCTGATGAAGCAACAAGGTGAAAGTCTCCAGTGGTTAAACTTCCTCTTCTCTGCACTTGGCCAGGAGCCGTGTCTGGGCCGAGCCCTGCCTGATCGAGGCTGCCAAGAAGGAGTACGACGGAGTGATTGAGGAGTTCCTGGTGGTTGGAGAGAAACTCTTTGGCCCTTATGTTTGGGGCAGGTATGGCTGGAAGGTTCCTGAAGGACCTGGTTCCTCAGGGACAGGGAGAGAGTTTCCTTCTCTCCCCAGCCCTGTCTTCAGGAGGAGCGGGGTCTGAGCCCAGCCTTCCCTGGCAGGTACGACATCCTGTTCATGCCACCCTCCTTCCCCTTTGGTGGCATGGAGAACCCCTGCCTCACCTTCGTCACGCCGTGCTTGCTGGCCGGGGACCGCTCCCTGGTGGACGTCATCATCCACGAGATCTCCCACAGCTGGTTTGGCAACTTGGTCACCAATGCCAC